GGAGGCATGGCCGTGCTCCGAAAGTCCGTGCTCTGCAGCGTCTGCCACAGTCTTTGATAAGACCTTCCGTTGGCTATCAGACGGCCGCTGAGCCTTGCGGAAATATAGATGATACTCAATGTGTCAATAGTACGAAGATATGTTAAGGAGTACGGTCCAACTTCGGGGTGCACGACGGCAGTTGCCAGTTGCCTTGGCCCCTTGAGGGCGCCTCGCCGGCCAGCCCGGCCTTACTTACTTACTTACTTACTTACTTTTACTCACTCATGGTTTGATTTTAGAGATCAAATCAATGGCAACACTGATAAAAATGATTAACAAAATGAAAATCTTCGTACTTTACATATTAAATGTGGGATACTCACCCATTTACATATTGGTGGGTTTACATGGAGCTGAAAGACTTTTCAGACCCTAAGAGACGTCTTCAGTACCTTGAGGATCGAACTTTATTTTCGATTTTACTGTACTACTCAACCAGCAATGTGTGGGTACTACAGATCTCTAAGTCACATATGTTGACTGCTGAAAATATGTGAGAACTTCCCCATCTTCCATCCAGCACAGCTACTTTGAATTCAGCAATTTTCAATCTATTTTCATCATTCGTCTTACTGCTTAGTGAGGGTGTTTTCTAAGGTTCATATCTATGCCTTTTTATTTCCACACTTCTAAAATAGTGTATACAACATCGCCCCGGTGTTTTCTGTGTTTCAGTCAAATTCCAGCCGCATGATGACGGATCGCCGGCTTGCACAGTGTTTAATTGTACTCGTCGAGGGAAAGTCAGTCCGACATCTCGATGATGTACCGACCACTTCTGACCCGCCAAATACCAGTGACGTTCTTTCTGATACGGACGAAAGCGACCTTGCTAGAAGGTCGGTACTACTGAAAACTCGGACAATAACCGTGGAAGCCTACCTCCAAGGAGAGAAGAGATCTTTCGCTCTGTTGCCGGAGGCCCTCACGGCGCAACACCCTACAATCCTACAACGACTGCGCCAGTTAGGAATCCTCACCCTCGACGACGAAGCCGTCTCCTCCATTTCACCAAGTGAGATTGTCCGCATCGTCGAGGTCCTGCTCGACGAAAATAATTCGAATCCGCTTGATAAGTTGTACACCGCAGGCTACGGAAATGACTTCACCATTGCCCGCCTCTTCAGTGTAAAACCTTGGCGCATCGATGAATTCAGGTACAAGTCGATCCGGTCTGCAGTCGACGATGCGAATCTCGGAATCATCGACCGTCTTCTGAGCAGCAGACCCACAGCAATCAACTGCAAATTCGGGCCGAACTTGCAAGGCACGTTGCTAGAAATGGCCGCCAGGCTGGGTCATCTAGCACTTGTAAATTTGTCATTGAACCACGGTAAAAAGATGAGATTACGGGAGGGCATTCCTGTGCATCACGCTGTTAAGGCGGGCTCACCTGCCACGGTTCAGCTGCTTGCAGAAGCGGGCGCTGATGTCAACAAAACTGACTCCGTGCATGACACACCTCTTGGGTTGTTGGTCGGTCCCCACCACCTAGACGATTGCACAAAATTGGACCTAGCTAAAATGTTGGTGAAGTACGGGGCCGAACCACTTGCACGCCGTGGACCGACTTCGAATCAGCATATTTCGCAATCAATCCTATTATGCTGTTCCTATAATCTTGAGGATGGATTGTTTTCTTACTTCCTTCGGACCTGCTTCACAGAGCCGAGAATTTTCAAAAACGTACTGGTTCACAGAGCATGTGTCCAGTGGTTCGGCCAATCTCCTCTTGAGATCATTAACTTCCGCAAGAGATTCGCTGAACACGTTGTCAAAATAACTACCCTCTTTCGCAGCTCAGACCTTGACGAGGATCTCCCCTCTCTGTGGTCCGACGATTTGACCGGGCTCGCCGAATTCAAGGGCAAGTGTGAAGCCGAAATTCTATGTTTGAGAAATACCAAGTTCGCCAATACCCACTTACCCTTATTCGATTTATTGAGAAGCTCCGACCGTAATGTATCACGCCTTCTCGGGAACGAATCAGTTCTTCAAGAAACCTCACCTGGTCGTTGGTCGTCCGTCTGGTTCCGGTTCCCCCTTTATGGTACCATGATGAACGAGCGCATTGAAAAAATTAAGAGCCTCAATGTGTACCTGTCGGAAGCTAATAAAAGTTTTGAGTCGTTGTCCAGGCATTTTAAAAGTTTACCCGACGAGATTAAAGAACACATCCTTCGTCTACTCAGCTACACTGACCTTGCGAGGTTGAAGAGAGCTGGTACGTCCACCGACCAACAAATTAAACTCGAGCTCTAAGTTACAAGCGACATTTTATCCCGTCGATTCCTAAATATTATTAATCGTTCCGAAAGGAATGAGAAGTCTATTCCACCTACAATAATCTTGCAACCATTACTTGACCCGTCGAATATCTCGAAAGATATTAATAATAACTCATGCCTTTGCGTCTAGGGTGTCCCAAAAGAACTGCACGTTTTCTTCGGACGAACAGTAGCAGGTATGCGGTTCGTGTAACGTTAAAGTGCCAGTAATATCCCATGAAGCAACCCGAGCTCAACAGGTCAAAAAGTGACCAAGTTACAGCGGCTTGTAAATGACATTTAGAGCTGATCCCTTCATGATTTTCGGAATTTTTTCTGAAAGGAAAAATCCATACATTCTTTGGTGACCTAGGGTGTAGGGTTGTTTTGAAATGTATTTCACGTTTTATTGATTTCTTTTACATTTTAAGTTACGTTAAGTCTTGGCAATGAGTCTATTAATACATTCAAATTACCTAATCTTAGGTAGTACCAAAGTTTAGTCTTAAATGTAGGTATTGTAGTTCTATTCTTACCTATTTTGAGTTAATTTACGACTAAAATTATTTACAATGAAACGAAACTAGAAAAGTACCGGTTTCGCCCTGGGGTACTACACCAGCTTGTTGTTGTTGTCGTGGTGGTTGCAACTGGGCCATGCGTGATCAGGTGATTTCCTGGTGGAGGAGTCACATCTCCTTCATCCCTAACCACTTTTTGGCAACATGCTCACACGGTGTCATCATTACAAAGCAGTGACGTTGAACGACAACATGTTTCGAACTTCATCGTACCGCGGCGTTCTGTCTGTAGAAGTTTTGACTCTGTAATCTCAGTTTCCTTTTTTAAAAAAAAATGCTAAAAATACATGAGGGTTCATCTTGACATACCATTTTCAAATCACAGTAGCCCGGTCAATTTTGAATCTAGAGAGCTCGGATTGGTCTTGCTCTGTCGGCAATTACTAGCATTTTAACGTTACTTAAAGCGCATTTCTGTATCCACAGCCTTTCGTCCACACGTTCCAAGGAAACACGTATTACTTTTGGGACACCCTGTGTATATAAATGGTGGAAAATGGAGGCAAAAATAGTGACAAAGGCTAAGAATTACACTCATTGTCGTCGACTCTGTTGGTTGATTTTTTGGACTCGAAAAGAAAATATACTAGAAAACGACACAGAGAAAGAGTTTGAAAACTTTGATAACGGCAAATGTAGATTTTATTCAATGTTTGCGTCCTTTATCCCGCAGTATGAAGAGCAAATTAGTGGTTTCATCAGGGTTCGCTTTATTTAACCAGTCATTGTGTCCTATTGAATATAATACGCCATTTACTTTTGCTTTTAAGGTACAGCAGTTGTGGCAGAGGCTAAAGCCTCTGCCATTCTCTCTGAATTTCCCTGTTATAGAGTCTTCGTTAAAGAAAGCTTAAAATAAAAGTTGTTCAATCATTTTCCTCGTTAAAGAAAGGTCAAATTAAAAGTTGCAAAATTACTTTGAATTTATTTCGATAAACCAGAATATAGGAATCGCTTCCATGTTAGCATGAGTTTGCGGAATGTTGACTACGGCACTAAAACTGTCCACATGGTTTTTGTGAGCTCCTCGAGCTCTTTACGTAATTAGCGTTTTTGTAGATGTACGTTTACATGCAAGGGTTTAAAATTACGTCGCCGACCTACACTCAAGCAGTTCAGTTTTGTATCGTTGTTACTGTAACTGAGCGTACAACACGACACAACATAAAGAATTAATCACACATACATTTTTGCCGGAAAAATTATTGCAAAATATAGAGAAACTGATTGCGGAATGTTTGATTCGGTCGCCTAATCCTCCAGCATTTAATACCTCAACGATGCATGGCACTTGTAATGACGAGGAAGAATCCAAGGTCGTTGAAGTTGGTTGAACTCAATTGCATTAAATTCAACAGAGAAGGATCACGCCGAAGCAAGCTAAAACTATGAAAAAGACTAATGAAAGACTGGAATGAGACTTCCAACAAGAAGTCTCATTACATGAGATCTAATGTCAACGACACATTTTTGTTCTTCTTATTACTCTCAAAATAATTTTAGTCGACTTTAAACTTTTTGGCAGGGGAGCTTAAACCAAAGTGGTACCGAAGCTTACTCCTAACTCATTTTTTAACCTACATTTGTCTTGAATCATCTAAGTTTAAGACAGTGGTGTGTATTGTCCTTTAAATACTGAAAGCCAGTCAGTGAAAAGATGTCAACTTTCTTCAGCCAAGAAGCGATGGTTATATTTGACCCCTCTATTAGAAACTACGTCATCAGAGCGGAAATACTATGGTTTTGGGGTTTCTCCTAAAGTTATCAGAATGCGGATCATAGTAACGCTGCTCGCTCTACCTTCACAAGATCAAGTTTCAATCTCCAAAGGTGTCTCGGCATTCGGACGAACCTTTCCGGCAGTAGTCTAGCCGGCGGACAACCAATTCTCCAGGTTATCTGACGATAATACGGGGAAATCCTCGAAATGAAGAGCTGAAGAAGTCGAGGGAAAATTTACCTTATTTTTCTGAACATCTAATAAATCGTCAGCACTACTCGGAATTGTAGAAGGATCTTCAAGTGTCGGGGAATGCTAGTCAAATTTATGGATGAAGATTTTAGATGCAAGTGCACCGCTTTAACGCCGCCACTTCGATTTTTGTTTCAGCCACGAGGGTTCAACTTGATCATGCTCACCGTAGCTGAAGAATCACCCACAATCAAAGTCCTGCTTCTGCTCGTTCCAGATCGGATAGGCACGAGCCTAGACGGTGGGCGGCGCTTGCGAAGCACGCCCGCTGCCCCCCTCCCACCGCCGGTGGGCGTAGCGCTCCTCCCCCAGAACTTCAAGAACCAGCGGCCGGACATCTGCGACCTCTTCCGACGCCGCGGGCTTCCGGTCGCCAACACAGTCGCCGACCTGACTCAACTCGACCTGCCCGCAACCGACCCCCGGCTGGACATGCTTGAACTCAGCCTGGACGCTCGGTCCGCCTCCATGGACCCTTTAACACTCTTCAACATTCTGGGTGACAACCGGCAACTCGTTCGTCTTCTACTTAGCCCGACCTCTGTCCAATACCGTCGACGTTGCTGCAGCTCTAAATACTGCACTTCATTGAACCATTGGGCCACTTGTCGAGGACGATCATTCCTCGACCGAGACAATTTTCAAATCCTACGCTACCTGATTCTGCTCCGGGTCGAACTGACTCACCGCGACCCCACATGTGGTACTCTACTTCACTTAGCCGCCAAGAGAGGTTACGAACGTATCGCTAAGTGTATATTGCCTCCTTACAATCTCGATCCCAACGCCCAAGACCTTAACGGCCGAACTCCCCTTTTTTGGGCTCTTGAAAAGCAGCACGGTGGAGTCCGAAATTTGTTGTTTGCCCTCGGCGCCAACATCAACCACAGAGATCGGAACGGACAAACAGTCTTGCACGTAATGATGTCCCTGCGGTACACGATGGCATCTTATCTCATCGCATACAACGCAGATCCAAACGTGGCGGACAACCAGGGCCAGACGCCCCTCATCCTGGCAGCTCGCGAGGGCTCCGTCGAGGACGCCAGGAGTCTTCTGGACGGGGGAGCCCGGATCGACGCAGTAGCCAACGACGGCACGACGGCGTTCCACGCGGCGTTGTGCGGGCGCCACTACAACCTCTTCCGGTTCCTCCTCGAGTACGATATCCTGCACATCCTAACCGCGTTGAGGATGGAAGTCGGCTTGTTGTTGAACCCGGTGAACGTACCGAACGTCAGGTTCCTCCAGCGGGCCGCCAAGTTCCTACAAGATCACCTCGTCAAGGTCCTGACCTTACTACAAGACTACCACTATACGTTTGACTTTCTCGACTTCTTGGGTGACGTGAGCGATCTGCGCGCCAGGTGCTCGGCGGAGGCCGCCGCTCTCCGGGCGGAGCAGGTGTGTCCGGGGGTCTCCTTGTTCAACGTCATGACGATGGACATGGGACGGCTCGTGGGTCTCCTGCGCAACGGGGCTGTGGCCCGGCGCATTCGCAACACTGACCGGGAGAGGTTCCCTGTCTACGGCAACATGCTCAAGTACAGTTTCAACCGCGGGATCTACCGTAAGAGGCTTCTCCGAGAGGGTGTCAACGCCTGTCATGTCCTGATACCCCGATTTCGGGCGCTTCCGTTGGAAGTGTGGTTCGTCGTAGTGAGTCATTTGAGCAACCGCGAGTTGGAATATTTGTCGTTCCAAACGCATAAATAGATCTCTCCCCCTTCGTGGTGGAACCGTCCCTCGGAATCCCGCCGTGAGACGCAGCCACGCTACGGGTTTCCGACTGAGAAAGATTAGATTCGTTACCACATTTCTACGGCAGATTAGTTGCACTGAGGTATTAGTTTTATCGAGACAGTGACAAGGAAAGCTTTAGTTGTGATAAGTGATAGTAGAAGTTTTCTTTTCGCGGTGAGATGTTTTTGGTTGTGCTAACCCTAATTACTGGGATAGTGATGTGAAACAGCCACATTTACATTGAGGGTTTAAAATATGAAGCCATTTGCAGAAGTGATGGACTCCTAACGGAAGTATGTTGCATAGAAACGCACATGAAATCGCAATGAGAAGAACATGGAAAGAATGAGAAAAAGAAAAGAAAGGTGCTAGTAGAAGGAGACAGAGTTATAAGAACCATTTGAAGACGAACAAAGTAAGAGTAAGGGAGAAACGAAGAAAAAAGGGAAGAATTTCATTTTATTCTTTTCTTCCTTTCTCTTTTTATTCGTCTTTCTTTTCCTTTTTCACATTTTCCTCCTCACACCTTTTCTTCCTATTTCTAATGTGTTGCAATGTGACGTAATTATGCTAGGAGTTTTAAGCCAATAAAATTGCTCTGCTGGCCTGTTTCAAAACACGACGAATGCCTTTCTCATTGTCAGTGCAACATAAAACTGCTAAGGATACTTTTTCTTTTGTTGTGATGAATCCCGTTTCTCTTTTTGAAGTCAAGTGCCATTAAGTGCATTTTAACCTTACCGTAAGACTGTGATATTACTTTCGTTTTTATTGAGAATCCGAATGAGACCGAACAATTTGCTTGTTTAGTTTTCTTTAAAAAAAAATAAATGAAAATAAAGAAACGAAGAAAATAATCTAAAATATGTCACTTAATTTATGTTTTTCTCGAGAAAATTAATAATGTATCAATTTTCTACTCTCTACACTGGAAGAAAAAGTTGAACATTTTGCAGCGATGCAAGTCCTTTGTTGAATGGTAACTAATCATTCCTCGCAAATTTTCCTCAATTTTTACGCATTACAATAAATATTCATGAGCGATAACTTACAAAATTTGATGGATTGTTTATCATCCTAACACTTTAAACCACCGGACATTTTGACTCCATTCTCCAAGCACGTGCTTCGCAGTCTAGCATCGACGCTTTTTAGAATCTGAAGAGGTCTCTTTTGATTTTCGCAGTAAAATATTTCTTCACGAATGATGCATTTTAACTGCGCAGCGAATTATTTTTTCCCTTTTAATCGAGCTCTGTCCGAAGTTCTCAGGTGATGAAATGACCAAGTTTCAGACCGCACCAAAAATGTTATCACCTATCGCTAGGTCATACGTCATTTTTCCTTTGTTGTTTCTCCACCGTCTTACTATTTTATTTGCTCCCGATTTTTTCCATTCACTTGTATCGGATTTCTCAGCCTTTTATTCAAACTTCTCGTGTTCATTTTTCATAATTTTGTATTACATTATTTCGTACCATAATAAATATTTTTGTTCTTTTATCCCCTAGAGAATTTTACCCATGTATATTCTACACCAGTAAAATTTTACCAACCTTTAGGTTTAATGATTACAAATGGAAAAGAGAGAACTCACCACCCTGAATTGTCCTAGCATAGACCGAAAAAAGTATGGTTTAAGCGACAATTATATACTATCACCATTCATCAACCGATTCTACGCAGGAAAGACCGTATATCAGATCGCATGCACCCAAAGTATGATAAATGTTATCAAACGTCTGATTATCTTTATCCTTCAGTAGAATTGTCAAATTTCAAGTGGACTAATGATAGAATGTCAAACACTTACTTTTGTTACAATCCACTTGCCTTACTTTCATTTCAGAGTAACCGTCAAACGTACATCATAGTGAAGAAGTGGATATTCTCCAAAGTTGGCACCACTATTTTCCCTTCTTTTCAATCAGTGGTGAGGCGTGAATAATCGATTGTTATTTCCTCATTTGCAGCTATGGTAAAGAATCGATTATTAGGATGTTCGTTGCAAACACCCTGTTAATCAGTCCTTTTCCATAGGTTTAAATGACAGATCAATCGATCGACTCAGCGCGCGCCTCTGATGTCAATCAATTGTGGGCGAGTCACTCGAGTCAGTCTGTAATTCGGTGTACATCGATTAATTTGTATCACATCCATTTAAATAGATAAAACGGACAGAATTCGACACATAAATCTGTATCTGTATTCCTGTGTTGAATACGAGTTTTTCCCCCCTAAACGGATCCTGCTTTCATGCCTCTGAATTTTGCCAATATTATCGTGTTGAATGATTCTTCAGGCTTATGCGCAGGGATTATCGTCCTATTTTCGGCTTAAAATTCAAAATCTGCCGAAATTTTACACTTAATCGATGCGATATATCGCACGCCAATTCGACCTCGTCAGAAACCGCGATGAATCACCTTGAGCAAATTCAGTATATGTGGGCTGAGGTCTATTTCGTTCAGTTTCAATACAACTGCGAATAAACGTCTGCGAAAACAACGTTGTTCAGGATCGGAAACGCTCTTACTACTGCTACTCTTTTTTGCACGAATAAGTTGTCATTCCTGAACAATCAGCTCATAAAATTTATGAATTCCTTTTTCTTCTTATTGCTTTGCGTGAGATCCAAAAAACCAAATCAAAAAACATTTTCGGGGTAGAAACCTCCTAACTGTCATGACCGAGCAAATCTCATGCTCGCAATGTTGTCCCTCCGGACCAAAGATAAAAATTGAATATGTTTTTGCTGCATTCTAATTTTTGATGTTAGCTAAAGAATCCCCATTTCTTTGGTGTCTCGAACAAGAACGCGGTGGAAGTCGAAGTAATGATGAAACGTATGCGAACAAGGTAGAATATTCGAGTCAGTGGCGTGGCGTGAATTGCGATGTATCGATTGCTATGCCATTTAAACCTATGGTACATAATCGATTATTTAAGTGTTCGCTGCGAACACTCTGATTATCGATCCTTTTCCGTAGGTTTAAATGGCATTACAATCGATATATCGCAAAGCAAGCCACGCCACTGATTCGAGTCAGTTGATTCGATCGTCGAATGATCATATTCATACTCATTTCTTCAACCTCTATCAGGGTGGAATCCTGAATGAGATTTTATCCGTAGGCACCTCAAAAATTACCGCGATGCGCGATAGCTTACTCGAATTCTTGATTTTTAAGGAATTTCACTTTCGGATGAAAGGTAATAGTTAAATGTAGTAAGATAGGTGTTCAAGTTCTGAAGTTACTGAAACATTACGGAGGGCTTGTCGCTGTTCCACAGCATGTCATGACCGTCACATAATGTGCGTGGAATGAACAAGGCGTGAGAGACTTCAACGCCAAGATAGAAAAGCAAACGCAAAATCCGAATCTCGTACCATCTATTCAAGCGCATGCAACAAATGAGAGACTTCAACGCAAAGACAGAAAAGCAAACGCAATATCCGAATCTTGCACCATCTTTTTATGCGCGTGCAACAGACGAGAGACTTCAACGCAAAGATAGAAAAGCAAACGCAAAATTCGAATCTCGTACCATCTATTCAAGCGCATGCAACGGATGAGAGACGTCAACGCAAAGACAGAAAAGCAAACGCAATATCCGAATCTCGTACCATCTTTTTATGCGCACGGAAAAAACGAGCTTAGGGTTGGGACCTACATGTTAGTGCTGGGCACTAACGAGGGTTAGATCAAATGGAGCCAGCAAGTCAGAGGAGTGCTGGGCACTAAACAGCTCGAGGCTGGGTCACTAAGGAGGAAGTAGTGTCAAGCCCTAAAGTGACTTTGGAGCGAGCGTAAAATATGAAATACCTCGGCCTGGGATCGAACTCGGGTCGCGCCGGTGGAAGACCAGCGCGTTACCACCAGGCTATCGAGGCTCGGACGTCTCAAGGGTGAATTTACACCTGTTAAGCGCAACTGCGTCTCTCGGCATCTGATTAGCACTACTCATGTTCAGTGCCCACCTGTACTGCCTTCCGGCGTTGAGCTGTACAGCGCTTAGACGCCAGCCCTCAACTACTCCCCACTAAACGGCCAGTAGTGCTCAACACTAGTCTTGTTTTTTCCGTGCGCGTGTAACAGACGAGAGACTTCAACGCAAAGATAGAAAAGCAAACACCGTATCCGGAGCTCGTACCATCTATTCAGATTATGTGAGTGCAACAGATGAGAGACTTCAACGCAAAGATAGAAAAAGCGAACAGAATATCGTGAAGAGAAATCGTCGTTAGTTTGGTAGTTAGCAGAAGGTCACGGAAAAAACAAGACTAGTGTTGAGCACTACTGGCCGTTTAGTGGGGAGTAGTTGAGGGCTGGCGTCTAAGCGCTGTACCGCTCAACACCGGAAGGCAGTACAGGTGGGCACTGAACATGAGTAGTGCTAATCAGATGCCGCGAGACGTAGTTGTGCTTAACAGGTGTAAATTCACCCAAGAGACGTCGGAGTCACCATAGCCTGGTGGTAACGGGCTGGTCTTCCACCGGCGCAACCCGAGTTCGATCCCAGGCGGAGGCGTTTCATATTTTACGCTCGCTCCAAAGTCACTTTAGGGCTTGACACTACTTCTTCCTTAGTGACCCAGCCTCGAGCTGTTTAGTGCCCAGCACTCCTCTGACTTGCTGGCTCCATTTGATCTAACCCTCGTTAGTGTCCAGCACTAACATGTAGGTCCCAACCCTAAGCTCGTTTTTTCCGTGGTGACGACATTGTTTTTATCTCTACTAAATTCGTCATGAACAATCAATTGTATGCACAGGAGTCGGACCCGCTCAAAGGGGCAGATACACCTGCGCGTTACACGCGCGTCTTGTCCCGAAAAGTAGGATCCGATCCTACTTTGAGCGAGTTGCGGCCAGCGGGGCGATTATTGAAATTTCTTGTTTGTCGGATCGACATAGATGACATAGGTTAAAAGGCGGAGCGTGATTGGTCGGCTATGTCTTATCGCTGCT